CAGATCTTGACATGCATGAGTGCTGTATTTAACTTTATTGGAAATTCTTAGTGTTTGAATGTGGGACGAGTCAAATGTCTTTAAGGCCTCCTTTTTTGCATCTGAGAAAAAGGAGGCAATAATTCCTGTCCTGCCTAATTCCAGGGAATGTTATGAGGCTCTCCTAAAACTGGATAATAAGGCTCTGTGCCGATATGACAGGATGTTCTCATCTCACCAGGGAAGAAAAACCCATTTTGCCTGGCTTGATGCTCCAAATTAAGGCTCAGCCTCCTATGTGAGCCGAGATGCATGTATTTCTTGGTTTATTGGGTAGGAGGAAGCTACTACAGAAGGGGCTAAAGTGTCCCATCCTGAGCTTTATGGAAGTGTTTTCCATTTATCCCACTGCTCCCAAATCCTAGGTGCTATATAGAGCATAGAAGTAGGCATGCTACCTTGCAGCCAAATACAGCAGCCAGCCAGGTGACAAGCCCAGGATGGCAGGGAAGATGGTGAGGTTTGTGCAACAGCTGCTACCATGGGCCGGGCATTGCTAGTCAGTTGTAGTTATATAACCATTGCAAAAAGGCTTTCCTCTGTTCGCAGATGGGGAAATTGAGGCTCAGATACATGGTGACTTGCCCAAGGCCATGTAGGCAATAGTTACTGACAACCTAGAATCTTCCCTTTGTCCTAGGAGCTACCACACAATGGAAGTGGTTGTCCCTGGGTGGGATGTGATGAACAGAGTGGAGGGCCCTGGCAGGAGCTGTAAACCCAGACTTGACCATTTACCTAGCCTGTGACTTTCTATTCTTTGGACCTGTTTCCCCACAAATGTAATGAGGGAGTGGACTATTAGATGTCTCAAACTGGTTTTTGGAGGTAGCTCTAGACACTGGGTTTTGTTTTTTTATTTAATGTTACTTACTTTGAATGCTTTTATTTTTATTTGTAATTTTACTTTTGAACAGGTAATACATTCACATAGTTCAAATTCAAAAGGCACAAAAGAGTATACGATGAAGCTCCCTCCCTTCCCATCCCTAGCCTCTCTCCTCAGAGGCAACAACTATTGGAAATTTCTTGTTTCCTTCCAGAGGACATATACACATATGTGTGTGTATTCTCCTCCCCACACACCTCATTCCTGATTTTTTTGCACAAATAGTAGTATATTCTACACACTTTCCTGCTCTTTAATTTTCTCACATAAAGTTGGAAAGAGTTGACAGCATTCTTTGCCTGTCAAAGGTCCTAATTCCTTTTTGTATGTCTGCATAGAAATGTGAAGGCCTTAAGACCGGGCTTATCCTTCTGGATTGAGTGCCATAAGCCCCACTATGCTGCACTACCTTACTCCCAGCCAACTACACACTTGTTTACTACCTATGTTGCCCTGCATGGGGTAGGGAGGAAGGCTGAGGTCACTTATAGTTCTGACATCTTTCTCCCTGATCCTTAAACCTGAAGCCCTCTAACCCTGCAGGTTTTGGTGATCCCAAAGACCACATGGTGGGGGGCATAGTCAGCTTTGTAGGCTGGATGAGTCCCCAGCTGTGCCCGGCTTCAGCTTCTGATCACCTGCTCTGTCTCTGTTTCTCTGTTCCAACAGTGGCCATTGTCTCAGAGGATGACTTTCATCACAGTTCAAACTCCACCTACAGAACCACAAGCAGCTCTCTCCGTGCTGACCAGGAAGCGCTGCTTGGGAAGCTGCTGGACCACCCGCCGCCACCCAGCCTGCAGAGGCCCGAAGACCGCTTCAATGGTGCCTACATCATCTTCTTCAGCCTGGGCATTGGTGGCCTACTGCCATGGAATTTCTTTGTCACTGCCAAGGAGTACTGGATATTCAAACTCCGCAACTGCTCCAGCCCAGCCCCCGGGGAGGAACCTGAGGACTCAGACATCCTGGTAAGGCCATGACCCTCCTGGGAGGCAGCCTGGATTGGGTGAAGGGGAACTTTACTTGGGTACACCACTCCAGGAAGATCTGAGGCATGCTGAGGACATGGATGCGAGTTAGGATGCTGTGTGGAATATAATAGAAAGAATTCAATTCAATCCTAAGAAATGCCTTGTATTGTATATGAAGCCTCGTGCTTCATGTGGCAGGGCAAGATGAAAATGGATAAGACACAATTCCAACTTTCACATTACTTACTATTTAACTTGGGAAGAAGATACAAATGATGATTCTCTGCAGTGTAGTTTAGTAAACCCAAGAATCCAATGTCTGTGCCTCCTCCAGGGGTTTGAAAGGGTGGATCTCATAGCATTAAGTTGAGCTGTGAGTTACAGAAAACTCCAAAAGAGCAGAGGCTAAAACAAGATAGAAGATAATTTTTCTCTCATGTTCAAGTCTAGAGGGACCAGCCCAACCCTGGTATGAAGTTCTATGCTGTCAGGAACTTAGTTATTCCACCATGTGTAGTTTGTATGTTCAAGATCACTTCACAGTAGATCTAAGATGGCTATTGGAGCTCCAGCCATTACATCAAATAGGGAGAGGAGAAAGGCATAAGAACACTCCTGGAAGTAACACACATTGCTTTTGCTTACATCACATTGGTCAGAATTCAGTCATGTGACTGCACGAGCTTCAAAGGAGGTTGGGAAATGGATGGATGGTTGTGTAGTAATGGAGGAGGGGGAAATGAAGACTTAGGGATAAGAAGTCTCTTCACCAAGGGAGAGAGTGCTGTGAGTCAGAGCAGGTGGATTAGAAGAATGGGGAGGAGACGTCCCGGTAAAAGAAAAAGCCTGGCAAAGGCAGGATGGGAGGAAGTTCAGGTGTGTATGAGGAACAGTAAAGCACCTAACTTTGTTGTGTGTGGGGTTCACCTATGAGAGAAATAAAGCTTGAGATCGCCTGGGCCTCGAAGTAATTGCCCAGGCCTTGAATGCCAAGGCAAGGAGTCTAAATCATGTTCGGTCGGCAGTGGCACCAAACTCCCTCCTGCCACCCAGGCCTAATTCACTTTGTGGGACAACTTTTCCCTTGGGCAGGGGTAGTGTTAAAAAATTATTCTGCTACTTGTTAAAATGGTAAGGAAGGCTTGACTCAAGAACAAGTGGGGATTCATAGCCAGGGAGCCAAGTGAGAGGGTCAGTTGGTGGAAAATTACCAAAAAGAGCCACCAAGGGTAGAGAGATTCTTGCTAAAGGCAGGCCAAGGACATGTATACCAAGGCCCAGATGAGAAATGTGATCGGATATTGAGGGAGATCAGATATCAGGGTTGGGGGAATTCTCAGTAAACTGACTCAGCAGTGTTTTTGTTAAGACTGGGCTAGGCAGGCAGAAGATGGGGGGGGGGGCGGGGCGGGGCGGCCAGGTCAAGAGAGTTCAGAGGTTTGGTTAGCTTTTGTTGGGAGCCATTTCTAAAGTTGATCTAGGCTGGTGTCTGCTCTCTCATGAAAGCTTATGGATGGGGAAGTGGGGGCCTCTCTGAAGGCGTGCCAGGCTGAGGGGTTGCTAGCTGCCCCTCTCCTCCAGGGGTGCCCCAGAGGATAAGAAGAGGGTACCCTAGCAGACCTTAGCCATACCCTTCAACTGGCCCAGAGGATGGCTCACCACCCCTTGTCTGAAGCACCTTTGAAATCCCTGACCTAACTAACCTCCAGGAACTTTCCCCAGTTTTTTAGGAATGAATCTGACACATTGACTGAGGTGTCCCTACTGTCTGTCTCAAGGACTCTACCAGGACTACACATCAGAATCACCCTGAGAGAGTTTTAAAAATCCCAGTCTGGGCCCCACTCCAGAGATTCTGATTGAATTAGGCCCCTTAATTCTGACGCCCTGTGAGGGCTTGTTTCTGTTAACTGAGGAATTCACGACTGCCTCCAGAGGCCAGAGCAATGCAGTATAAACCCGTTTCCGCAGCTACATAGGTGTCATGGGAACACAGTGTAGAACTTTAGAGCCTCCTACTCCAGGTATGGTTCTCGGACCAGGCATGCCTGGGAGCTTGTTAGTAATGCAGAGTCTCAGGCCCCACCCCAGGCCAGCTGTTAGGAGCTGCTTGCTGACAAGCCCCCCAGGTGACTGTCAGACACAGTAGAGTTGGCTTAGACATGACTCTGGAAAACATGGTTCCAACCCTGCCTCTGTTAGTCCTTAGCTCGCTGGCCTCTGTGCTGCCTGTCTTCCTGGTATGTAACAGGAGGATAATTCTACCAGCAACTTCTTAGGGTTGTTGTGAGGATTAAGTAAATTACTCTGCACACAAAGCAGTTAGAACGGGGGCTGGCACTAGTGCTGTAAATGCTGTATAAACATTATTATCGTTATTATCATTTGGGGGATGCAGCTTGGTGTATTTCCAGACGCCTGGCTTAGCCGAGTGCTTTATGATCCACTTTTATTTACCAGTAACTCAGGCGTCCCAGCTTTCTGCTGGCCTCAGTAAATCACCCAGCCTGCTTGGGCTTCCTCCCAAAGGTCCCCGTCTGTCTGGGCCGGCACCAGCCTAGGGCAGCCCCCAGGATTAGATTGTCTCTGCACCTGCCCTTTCCTCCCACCCCTGTCCTTGGGAGCAGGCTGCCCCGGGTGGGAGCAGAAGTGCAGGCAGGTATCTGGGAGCTGGCCCTTGCACAGTGGACATTGCCACACAGTGGACGTCTGTGGTGAGTTGCTCTCGCTGCAAGGCGATTCCTTCCCAGCTGTAGGCACTTAGCATTCCAGGCCCTGCTACAATGCTTTATTGCCTCTTTCCAAGTGCTGGCAGGTGCAGATGTAGTACCTGCGGCTGCCCGGAGCTCCTGGCTCTTGGCATCAGAGATGAGAGACCTGTCACCCCTCGATTCATGGGCCGGGTTTGGGAAGCAAGCATGCTGGGGCGTTTCTGCATTTTGCGGGCCATTTTTCTTTGCCTAATTCTCCATTCCTGCCTCCCACCTCCCCAATTTTTCCCCCTTTCTTTCGGATTTCCCTGTGAGAGGCGGCTGGTCTGCTCTGTCACCTGAGGGCAACTTTGGGGGAAGGAAAGAAAGTCAAATGGTTCTGTCTCCAGCGACCACCTGCAACTCCATGGACTGTGGGTCTTGATGTTGTTTTTTCTGTACTTTCCTTTTAATATTTCCCAGTGGTGGATACCATTGGATAGGGAGTTTGACTCGGTAGGAATGTTTGCACAGATATCCCCTCCCCCCCCAAAATTATATCACTTTCAAGGTCACCTGCCCTCCACACTCATTTCTTTCTGCCCGGAGCAGTTTGGGGATGGTTTAGAAGCATCCTGTTCACCTGCCCCATTGTCTCTGTTTGTTCTTTGGAATAAGAACTTTGAATGAACCCACCACAGGCCTGTAGACCCAGAGCCAAAAAAATTAGAGCATAAATGAGGAAAAATTTATATGAAAAGATGGTGTGACAGGAGCCAGGATGGCCGCCATCTTCCGAGCTCAGCTGTGGGCCCCCATGCTGGCAGAGGTGTTAAACTCATTGTCCCTCATTAACCCTGTGTTTTCAGACAGAAGCCAGAGCTCAGAGGTTCAGTAACCTGCCCCAAATCCCATAGCTAGGAAAAGCTGTAGGGAATTTAAGTGGCTAGATGATTACAAAATTGGCGATGTTCAGAGAGTGGTGTAAAGAGGACTGTCTTGGAGGCAGGGGCCGCCCCACACCCTGACGCTGCCAGATGCTGTCTTCTTCCTATAGAGAGCTTGTGTTTGGTCTGGCTTCCTTTTCCACCAGGTGTCTTGGCTCTGTCTCTGGATTCTGGACCCAGCTTCTAAGCTGTCAGCATCCCTCATCCCTTGCTCCCCCACCCCCAGGTCTTCCCTTGGTTCTGGGGCTTGTCCGCCATCCCTGATCCTGTGAGGTCTCCTTGCCCTTCACGTGGCCTCTCCTGCAGACCTGCACTGGCTGCCCCTGGGCCAGGGGCTGTAAGCTAAAATGGCTCCTTTCTGCCCCAGAGAGGATAGTGACTATACATTATCCTGGTCACTCCCTGCCACTGGGCCTCCAGGGCCCCTTCCCAACATGTTTTTCCCATACACCTTGGCCTGCTCAGGGCTCCTCTCTGAGAGGGCTGCGGGACATTGCTAGTTCATGGGTGGGCCCCACAGTCCAACTTGGTGTCAGCAGGGCCAGGACTCAGGCTTGACAATCTGTTGCTGTCCCATCCAACCCATGACCAGAGGGGACACCAACAGCCCAGTGCCAGGGCAGGAGATAGATATTTCTTTTATGCCTGGGAAACTTCCCTGCTGCCACTCCTCTGAGTTAGCGTCAGTGGGGTCTGGATCCCCAACACCCATTGTACTTCCCCATCAGGTTCTCACCATACAACTCGTGATATTGGGTGTTTACTGTGGGGGAGCTGCCGCTCTCAGTGCTTTGTCCTTATTATCTCATTTAAGGCTGCAGTACCCCGTGAGACAGAAACTTATTATCCATGGATGACAATACCTGTTTCACAGATAAGGGCGCCTCCCCCGCTAAACAGTTAGCTCTCTGGAGACAGCGAATACAGCTCTTACCGTACATACCTGTGCCCCCAGAACCTCTAGCACAGTGCACAGCACATAGTAGCACACAATAAATATTTATTGCATTAGCTATTGTATGGCCGGGAAGGAAAGCTTCATGACCCCAATCCAAGATAGGGGCGTTGTGGCTCTGCAAGGAGAACAAAAGATCTGAGAGTCACAGTAGCTACCACCAGGAGTTCTGTGATCTTTCGGGTGGGTTGGCGTAGACGTGAAATGGGATTGCTACAGTACGGAAGCCATCCAGGT